GGGGTTTGAACAAAATATCAGTTTACATTTTGGACAAATTAACATTTTAAAAAACCTGTTCATATATAGTTATATAATTCTCTCAATTGGTCAGTTCCAACTTTTGGATGGCTTGGAGGTCCTGATTCAAAACTTTGGGGGGCTGCAAGTCACCTGAAATTTCTAGTTTTGCCTGTCTGTTCTTGCATATGGCCTGTTCTGAAATTCTGACCATGGTTCAGTCCTTTGTTCAAGACCATAAAATCGTTTATTCCAACTGCAGTTAAGACTGGGCACCCCTATTATTGTTAGTGTTGGACATGTACTCTGAGTGTTCTTGCCTTACAGGGTAACATCATAGATAACTGAAACTCAACCATCAGCCCTTCAACTGAATTCACATATATTGTTTTAATTCCTGGATTCCCAAAGTGATCTCCATAGCTGCTTGGTTACAATGTTTTTGGAATCCATTTGAATTTGCACCAACCAATTTTTTTAAAAAAAAATGTTTTAATACTAGTAATTGTATTACATTATAGTCGACTCATGACAACTCTGTGTATAGTCATCCTGAACTGTGTTTGCTCTTATCATTGCTGGAATGATAGCCATGACTGTTATTGTATCAGTCCATCATATTTCTTTGCCATGCCAGAATTCAAAATCATTTCTTTTCTTCCCATTTCTTTCTTCACCATCCAACTTAGTCTGAACAAGTTGGAACTTAGCATCTCTGCAGCTAAAAATCTTCTATAGGTCCTTCAGGAAAATATGGAGCTTTGTTTTATGTCTTTCCATTCTTTTTTACCTCATTCTTTTTGGGCTATTGCTTCTTGATCAACATAAAGTTTGTGATCCCTAGTGGTGCAGTGGTGAGAATGCACTATTGCAGGCAAACTCTGCCCATAGCCTGGAGTTTGATCCTGATGGGGCTCAAAGTTGTCTCAGCCTTCCATTCTTCCAGGGATGGGGCAATAAGCTGTGGTTGTAAAGCACCCAGAGAGTGCTGTAAATCACTGGGGGGGGGTAATAAATCTAAGTGCTATTGGAAGGTTTCCAAGAGAGATCTTTTCAGTCAGTCTTCCAGAATCTGAACTTGAACTCATTGGCATATGAGGACAAGCTATTTTTTTAAGTAAAGATCTTTGGGATGCTTGAAATATCAAGCCAAACCACCATTATTTTTTTTCACTGCATTATCATCAACAGATATCAGAAACTGTGAGAATATTGTTGTGTGTTTTTTCAGTGAATTATCTTGGAGTTCTACTCTGACTCGGCATTGTAGCTAGGAGATTAATGAAGGAAAGAATATAAGAAAACTTCCTTCCACCTTAACCAGACCGAATAAAACACCTTCAGCTTTCTAGGCAGTCTGAATTCTGGGCTCTGAATTCTCAGTTGTTTCTTAGTCTGTCTCCTAGTTTGTCGTATGATAAGCACTTGCTCTAAAATCCTGATTACTGGCACATCCCACAAACCCTGGCTTCTGATTAACTGTAGGTGACTGCCTTGGCCAGGGTCTGAGAAGACTGTTGATTTGTGCTTCAACACTAGCACTAAAAGGTGGCTGAAACGTGACATTGCTGCTCTTAGCTAATATGAAGTAGTCTCAAGGGGACAATCTGCTTCTGTGAAGCTTCTCATGCGTCTACTAATCTAAGAAATAAAGAAGAGATTCTAAATCTGTGAGTTAAGAACATATTCCAAAATGTCTGAATTGGCTATCCACTCAATGGCTTAACCACCAGAATGATTAATCAGTAGCAGCTAATCTGAAAGGATCTATATCTGTTTGATCTGACGATATTATCATTTGCACAATGCCTGAGAATAGTCCTTGCTTCTGACAGCAGCCTGGAGTCAAAATAGGATCATTTTAAAATAGAGGGTTGCCATCTACTGGCCATATAGACAAAATACATGACAAGAAGAAACTAAGCACTGTGTTAGATAATGGAGTCAATTTTCCAGTTTAACCAAACTGTAATGATGATGTTATCCATTCAGTTGTGTCTGACTTGTGAATTTTATGGGCCAGGTCTCTCCACATCTTCCAATCTTGTACTTCCAATCTTGTATTTTTTGAATTTTTCTATGCTCTGGCTGGTGTCATCTTTGATGATGTCCACCCACTGTGTTCTTTGGTGGCCTCACCTTTCCTTTTACCGCTAACTGCAATCTAACATTTTCTTTTAGCTGAGTCACTTTTAAAAGAATAGGAAATACCTTTTCAGCCAATGCTGACACAGAATCTTGAAAAATCCTCGAGTTATAGTTTGTTGCATTAATATTTGGTCTATATTTCTAGTTACAATAAATAGTAATGTCTAATATATTTCCACCTATGCAAATATCTTTTGGGGTAGAAATATTAAATATGGATATTCAAAATGTTTTAGTTCTGCTTAAGATAATATATTTTTATATATGACCTAATTTTGCATTTTTTTTTAAAAAATGTAGTTTTTATTTGATTTAGTGTTATGTTCTTATTATTTGCTAAACTTATATCCCACTTCTCCTCCAAAACCTTAAGGTGACATATATAACACTCCCATTTTCACCCTCTGGCCTTCATTCTAACAGCCTTCCAGGAGCTAAATAAAAACCTGGCTTTTCTGGAAGGCCTTTGGAGACTGCACCTGTGGGTAAATATATATAATGATAAGAAATATTTTATTTTTTTATATTAGTTATTTTTTTCTTACTGAAATGTTTTAAATGTAATTGTTATTATTGCTATTTTAATCTCTGTAAACCACTTTGAATCCATAAGGATTGAGCCAGTGGTGAAATCTAAAATTTGTTACTACCGATTCTGTAGGCATGGCTGGGGGGGGGGGTAATGTGACTGGGTGAGCGTGGCCTTTTTTTTTTAACTTTTAAAACCATTTTTTCTACAACCTCTTCGTCGAAGAGATTGCAAAAAAATACTTTCAAAAGGCTCTGACGATCCGAGCTGAGTTGCCTGATCTGCAGAGGCTTTTTAAAAAACACAGCTTGGATCATCAGAGGCATTTAAAAGAAAAAAAGGGTTTTTTCTTTTAAAAGCCTTTGACGATCCCAGCTGAGCCGCGCGATCATCAGAGGCTTTTTTTTTTCCTTTTAAAACCATTTTTTCGGCCGAAGAGGCTGTAGAAAAAATGCTTTTAAAAGTAAAAAAAAAGCCTCTGATGATTGTGCGGCTCAGCTGGGCATGGGGGGGGAGGGGCAGGGATTTTTGCTACCGGTTCTCAGAACCACCCACCTCCATCGCTACCGGATCGGGTGATCCGGTCCAAACCGGGAGCATTTCACCCCTGGATTGAGCTAAAAAACAAACCAACCTCTGGATTTTCCCCACAACAATAACCATGACATAGGGTGTGCTGAGAGAGAACAGCTGGTACCAAAATCACACAGTAACCTTGTATGGCTGAGAGTGGAGTACCATAGCTTTTTTAAATTAATGTCTCACTCTGTCAGGAATTCATCATTTTGCACATAAATGCCAGGAATTGTGGTTTTAGTAATGAGCGGGTTGAGAATGATAGGCACTGTAGTTCAAGTCATCTGAAGAAACACAAGCAGTTGTATTCCCAACCATGGATTTTTTTATTTAACCAAAGGGGAAAAGTGTACTGGCTGCAATAGCTGACAATAAGAGCTAGTTTTCCTTTCAGTCATAGGAAAAGAGTTAGAATTTCTCAGGGTAAATAACAAGGCAGGAAGATTCCTGCATATAGAGAAGCTCCGCCTTCAAATTATAAATTTATAATAGTAATGCAGTAATCACCATAATAAAGCATATAAATTCAGACTGCATTTCAAAAAAGACTAAGCTATTCTTTTTAAAAAATATGATACTGTATGAGGTTAATAAGAAAACAAACAAGCACCTTCCATTTTCTACAGCACCTTGAAGGTTAGGAAAGATAGAGCAGTTTCATTCTCTGTGCAATGTATTTTCTCTCCAATAGATGGCAGTAGTGACTTCTCTTGTTTTACTTTCTTAGTGCCAAAAAACGTTTTAAACCAGTGCTCTCTTGATAGTTTTGATTTCAATTTTAGAATTAGTTTTAGAAGGTACCTCAAAAAACATTCTGTCAGCACACGAAATACTCTGCTAGGTAAAAGTTATGGAGCCCTGATGAAAAGCTGTATTTTAAACTTTCTTACAGTTAATTGGTACAGTGTAGCACATGGCATCTTGACAGCAGAATGCAAACAAGTTCTGTAAAAGTCCTGCAGATTCCAAGTATATTGTGCCTAAAACCTTAAACATGCCTAAATGAAAAATAAAATTGGTCCTCGGGAAAATGAGCAAAGCCCTTGACATGTTTTTGACATGAAATACAGAATTTTTTAAACTGTTATTTTATCCAACTTTGCTTTTAAAAACAAAACAGTAACATTAATGTAAGCTATTTGTTTATGCCAAATTGCTGAATAAGATGATAAGTCATCTATATGGGGAAATTAAAATACTTCATATCATATTAAATAAAAAGTCCTTTTCAAATCACTGATAAAATGAGTAATATTTTACAGGGAAATAATGAAGGAAACTATTTCTTCCTTCAGGTGTTCTCCTTTACAATATATAAAATACACATCTGTGTCTATAGAGCAATCCCAGGGATTGTATTATGGTTTTTCTGAATGTATTATATGCTCTAGCACTGAGCATCTTTATGGAATACCGATTCCCCCAACCTGGTGCACATTTTTAGGCAGAAATGTGGTTAATCATTACAAGGATTGCAGTTAAAACTTCTTTAAGTTGGAAAAGCATGAATAATTTTTAAGATTCATTTACCAAAGCTGATTAAAAGTCTGTCTTTTAAATTACTATCCAGTAATAAAAATTTGAATGATAGCTACTTGGACATTATAGATGAAAATTGTAACTGTTATGAAAAGTATTAATCCCTTTTTAGATTTTCTGAATTTTTGCATATTTTTATCACTGATTGTTATCAAAGCTTAATGTGGGTCTTACTTGATACATAAAAGGAAGTGTGAGAAAACAAATACAAAGTTTGATGCTTGTTTATTTCATAAACAATGTAACTTAAAATTCAGTACGATACTCTGGAAAAACAATTATACATATGCAGGCATATAGTTCAATCAAGTCAATTAAAATGTTAATAAACAAGTTGTGTAAGTACTTTATTCAGTACAAAAAGGACTGATCCCGGCCAGCTCACCCCACTATATATCCCACTGACTTTGACACCTCTCAGTACAATGATGTTCTCACTACACAGATTCTAGAGGTATCTTCTGCCATGTCACAAGAAATTTCTGAAGACTTCTGTAAAAAAAATATATTCTGGAAAAGATTACATTAATTATTTTTAAAGTTCTGAGTTTTCATTGATCTATTTCAAAGATACAGTCTTGAAATACAGAAAATCTGGGACAATAATAAATCTTCCAAATGATTATTCTCTTTTGAAAACTGCTTCAATAGCATAGCATAAAATTATCCAGAAACTCACAAACAGAAGAATATCATTGAAGGAACTGCAGATCTCCCTTGCCTTGGCCAAAGTCAATGTTCATGAGTCTACTATAAAAAAAAAAGGATAAAAATGGAAATTATGGGACAGTAGGAAAGTGGCTCACTAAGACAAACAATGATGATCATGTTCTGAAAAGGAACACCCACAATGACTTTCCATAAGTTTTGGGACAGATGTATCAAACATGGTCCTTTTTTTGGCTACATGGTGTTATGTCATGTCTGTTGGAAACCAAACACTGCATTCCACAGTAAGAACCTCACATTGACTACCAAGGATGGGGGTAGTACTGCCATGGGTTGGCAGAAGCTTTGCTGCCTCAATGCCTTGTTTACTTGCCTTCACTGAAGGAAATATGAATTCTACTTCGGGAATGCTATAGGAGAATGTTAGGCCATAAAGTAAAGTGCAAGAAGGCAACAATATCAAACATGTAAGTAGTTATGTAAAGGAAGAACAAATTTGATATTTTGGGATAACCAAATCAAAGTCCAGACCTCAACCTCACAGAAATATTGTGTCGGGATCCAAAATGGGCTGTTTATACTGGAAAGCTCTTAAATGTTGCTGAAGGAAACTGTTTGACATGGGAGAATCTGCCATAATTCTTACACAGCGATATGAGACTGATCAAGAATTACTGAAAATGTTTTATTGCAATTACTGTAACTAAAGGTACCAGTTTTTGAATCCAAGGGACTATTACTTTTTCACACTGGTAAACTACCCATTGGTGATTCTATTTGTTTTGGGTTTTTTTGCTTTCTGTTTTCTCTCATGTTTTTGTATATTAAATAAATAAAAAGAGCATTAAAGTATGGTGTTATCTATTCACTTAAACTCCCTGTATATACAGGTGAAACGCAAAAAATTAGAATATCGTGCAAAAGTTCATTTATTTTACTAATGCAACTTAAAAGGTGAAATATATGAGATAGATTCATTACATGCAAAGCAAGATAGTTCAAGCCTTGATTTGTCCTAATTTTGATGATTATGGTTTACAGCTCACGAAAACCCCAAATTCACAATCTCAGAAAATTAGAATATTGTGAAAAGGTTCAATATTCTAGGCTCAAAGTGTCCCACTCTAATCAGCTTATTAAGCCATAACACCTGCAAAGGGTTCCTGAGCCTTTAAATGGTTTCTCAGTCTGGTTCAGTTGGAATCACAATCATGGGAAGGATTGCTGACCTGACAGTTGTGCAGAAAACCATCATTGACACCCTCCATAAGGAGGGAAAGCCTCAAAAGGTAACTGCAAAAGAAGTTGGATGTTCCCAAAATGCTGTATCAAAGCACATTAATAGAAAGTTATGTGGAAGGGAAAAGTGTGGGGAAAAAAGGTGCACAAGCAGCAGGGATGACCTCAGATATGAGAGAACCCACCATTGAATTGCATAGCATCGCAATGGAAAAAGGCCATTCAAAAGTGTTGGGGACTTTCATAAGGAATGGACTGAGGTTGAAGTCAGTGCATCAAAAGCCACCATACACAGACGGATCCTGGACATGGGCTTCAAATGTTGTGTTCCTCTTGTCAAGCTGCTCCTGAACAACAAACAATGTCAGAAGCGTCTTACCGGGCTACAGACAAAAAGAACTCGTCTGTTGCTCAGTGGTCCAAAGTCCTCTTTTCTGATGAGAGCAACTTTTGCATCTCATTTGGAAACCAAGGACCCAGAGTCTGGAGGAATAATGGAGAGGCACCCACTGCAAGATGCTTGAAGTCCAGTGTGAAGTTTTCACAGTCTATGTTGATTTGGGGAACCATGTCATCTGCTGGTGTTGGTCCACTGTGCTTCATTAAGTCCAGGGTCAACACAGCCGTCTACCAGGAGATTTTGGAGCACTTCATGCTTCCTTCTGCAGACGAGCTTTATGGGGATGCTGACTTCATTTTCCACCTGCCCACACTGCCAAAAGTACCAAAACCTGGTTCAGTGACCATGGGATTACTGTGCTTGATTGGCCAGCAAACTCACCTGACCTGAACCCCATAGAGAATCTATGGGACATTGCCAAGAGAAAGATGAGAGACATGAGACCGAACAATGCAAAGAGCTGAAGGCCACTATTGAAGCATCCTTGTCTTCCATAACACTTCAGCAGTGCCACAGGCTGATAGCATCCATGCCACGCCGCATTGAGGCAGTAATTGATGCAAAAGGGGCCCAAACCAAGTACTGAATACATATGCATGCTTATATTTTTCAGAGGTCCAATATTGTTCTATGTACAATCCTTGTTTTATTGATTTCATGTAATATTCTAATTTTCTGAGATTGTGAATTTGGGGTTTTCATGAGCTGTAAGCCATAATCATCAAAATTATGACAAATCAAGGCTTGAACTATCTCGCTTTGCATGTAATGAGTCTATTTCATATATTAGTTTCACCTTTTAAGCTGCATTACTGAAATAAACAAACTTTTGCACGATATTCTAATTTTTCGAGTTTCACCTGTATATCTACAGAACACCCCATGAAGCTCTGATAACATTTTATATCAAAGTTATATAAAAATCCAAGAAGGAATGAACACTTTTTCATTTCACTAAACACAACTATTTTGAGGTGTCTGTACAGATAAATGTGAACAGTTCTAGAATATAAATGAACTTCACAGCAACTTGGGTGTATGGTGCCTATTCATAAACTGTAATCACAGTCACAAATAAAGGCGAATATACGTGTCCCAGGATAATGTTTCAGGATCTAATTTGGGTCAGTCACCTCTGGTCCTGGATTGGATCCTGCGGTAATCAGTCTTTGAAATAAACTCTGGAATCTAATTGTGGACAAAAAATTTCCAGATATACAAACACTTCTCCTCTTATATATACGTTATGTAGAAAAAGTCATGAAAACATCTACAAATGGACATACACAGTTTCGCCAAACCCCACTGCATCAGTTAGCCTGTTTTTCACCAAATGTTGTTCCATCTTGTCCCCCACATGCCTTCAGATGGTTGTGTTACATATAGACTCTGTCCTGGAGAAGGCTAACATTCAGCTGTTTTGAAATTGGTGTAGGGGAAAGGATGAAGGGATCAAATCACACAATTGGGACAAGTAGTCTGTTTACATGAATTCTCCCTATCTATGTATTTATTAAAACAACGTGAGAAGAAGTGCAGATTGGCTATACCCAGCACCATTCTTGAAGGAAATGCTGCCATTCGTCTTTAGATTCAGGACAGGAAGGAGTCTCCATTCTTAAGACATCTTCACATGCAGACATGGACACAAGCTTAGTATTGTATAAGGAAAGCTCTATGTACATGCATCAGGAAGGGTTTACAGTCAGTAATGTAACAGAATTATTAACTAAGTGGGGAGTAATCACATTAATAGAATTTATTTTAATTAAATATTTTTTCTCTTGCACCCATGCAATATTTGTAAAAAATTGTAATTTGTAATGAGAACCAGTTTGATCTAGGCAGCAGGCTAGAAAGCAGGAAATTGTGAGTTCAAGTCCCATCTTAGCCATGAACACCAGCTGACTTTTATCCAGTCACTCTCTCTCTCTCAGCCCAATTCACTTCAGAAGGCTGTTGTTGGTGGAGAAAATAGGAGGAGGAGGGTAAGGTAGATATGTTTGCGGCCTTGAGTTATTTGTAAAAATAATAAAGATGGGTTACAAATAAATAAAATAATAATAGTCCTCTCCTCATAGTGTCAGAATATTTAAAGGATGAGGGTGACTCTCTGACCAAAACAACCTACACATCCTTTTGGATAAAATAGGACCTTCCCTGATGGAATGCAACGGATTTCTAGCTGACAAGATCTGGAATATAGGTAGTCCTTGACTAATGACCAGAATTTCTGTTGCTAAGCAAGGTGGTTACTAAGTGTGTCATGCCCAGTTTTACTTTTGCCACAGTTATTAAACTTGGAAGGTCACAAATGGAAATTACATAACCCTAGGATGCTGTAACCATTGTAAATATATGCTAGTTGCCAAACATCTGAATTCTGACCATGGGGAATTTTGTATTTGTCGTAAGTGTGAGGACCAGTTGTAAATCACTTTTTTCAGTGCTGTTGTAACTTTGAATGGTTGTTAAATGTTCACAACCACTGTAAGAGCTTAGTCTGTCATTTCATATGTCACTGCTAGGATGTAGATGAATATTTTTTAGAGATGGCAGACTAACTCCACCCTACCAGGTAAAAAAAAAGAAGCAGCAGCAGCCTTTGGGTGCTAGCTCCATTGCTCCAGTTCCCATATTCTCTTTTCCACCCCTCATCACAGCCTGGTCCACTTAACCTTTTCCATAGACCTCCTTTGGAAAGCAACCACTCCATCACATGACCTTCCTACATGGAGGCTATGTGGCACCATGCCAGAAGCAGGAAAGTATCATAGGCATCCATACCATATAAAGAAGGCGAGGAGTGGATTGGATCCAAATGCAATCATCCAGGGCCATACTGCCTCACCTTCCCAGCCTGGCATTTTGCTTAATGACCATTACGACTTGCAGCCATAATGGACGAGCTCCATTATAGTTGTAAGTCAAAGACTACCAGTATAGGGAAATCCTGTGTGTTGAAAATTTAGATAGCAGGAAGAAAAGTTTTTGACCATCTTAAGACCTGGCATGCTGATTTATGCAGTTATAATTCCACTTGCTGCTTCAAATAGGGGATGCACCAGCTAAATTCACTGACCAGAATAATTTCCCCTTTCAAACATACCAAAGAACAAGTGACATTTAAAAGTTTAAAAGTTTAAGCCATACTTCCTAAAAAGAAAAAGCAAGCTATGGACAAATTAAAAAGCAAAGTTCCAATACTGATCTCAGGAGGATCTCCCAATTTATGTCCATCAGTTGTGAGAATGGCCATAAACTCCTAGCTTTTTTCTGTTCTTTCACAGTTATTGGTTCACTCCCTAAATGCCAAGTTTAATAATGACTCTTTTAAATAAACTTGTCTACAGTGTCTTTAAAAATCCAAATAACAAGGCTGCCCACAATCTTTTAAATAGGTGCTGCTGAACAGCCTTCATATGGAAGACAGTTGAGGAGG